TTATTGGATGATTAAATGTAGGATAGAATCCATTTTAAGGTCAACGTGTAAGCGGTCAATGACCTTCTATCAATATAATACCACATGAGAGACATTCTGTCAAGAGCCAAATAAGTTGGCAAAAATATTTCTTATGGATTTTAAGGGTTTCTAATGCAAAATTTCCCCTTCGAAAAAAAAAGAAAAGAATCGGGGGATGGTGTTATACTGCTTAAATGCGATAGCACAGCAAGCCCATCAACATACTCATTAGCTTCTTTAAATAAATTTGATCAAAATATCGTTTCAGCTGCACATGACGAATCGGTTGATCTAAGGAAGAGAGACAGAAACTCAGATTGTTTACTGTGCTGTACTTGCTCTGATTATGGAAAGCCAGAATAATGAATTGTTAAAATAAACCAATGACGGGAAGAGGACAAATTGCCTTTCTGAGAATTTTATATCAAAATAAAACAAGAATGTCCAAATAAATCTAAAAAACCAGGCAAACAAAAAAAAAAAAACAACTATAATAAATCGTTTGCAACATTTTTAGTACTAATAGGAATTAACATCTTTCTTTTTTTCAAGTAAATATAAGCTCTCCTCATAATAAGAAATGTAAACACTGTTTTCTATGGCATCCATCAGGACATCGGTTGAAGTTACGGGACTGTACCTGCGAATCTCCCCACCTGCCACATCTAGTACGAGGCCACCATTCTTCCTTGCACATAATATGTTATTCATCTATCTTCGTTGTCCTTGAGAAAATCTTTGTCTTATGACTCATAATTTCCATATTCTTTCATAATCCAAATGGAAATAAGTTAGGTACTGATTCATCCTCACCCTCATTATCACTATCAGCATCATCGATCTCTTGTATCAAAAGAAGCGAGTCCCCTGTTGTCACAATAGTTTTCAAACCATAAGGAAGTGCGTTACTTTTATCCAAACACTTCATGTGTTAGATCAAATGTAAGTATAAATTCATTTCCATCTTCATCATGTTCTTTGTCACTTTGAATTTCAACTGAAGTGATCTTTTTTATCAAATCTTTTTTTCAAATGACTAAATTTCAACTGAGATGCAAAAAGAAATCAATATATTTTTATAGATAGACATTTTTGGCGATGAATATGGTAGTATATTCATTCTTTTATCTATTAAGAACATTAATGATCCTATTTTATCTGCTTTTTATTATTAAAATATCAATTTTTAACTGCAAATATCATTATCCATGTTGATATTTTCTTAAAAAAATATGTATTTATAAATACAAACATTGTCCTTTGAAAGAAATAAGCGAGATCTCATTGTCATGTCACGTAATATCTAATATATATCTGTTACGAAATCAAATTATATAATTTTGCTTTAAGTTTTTAGTTTTTTTCCAACTAATTTTTTTTCAATAAAATGAAGCAAATCGATATTAAAGTTTAAAGAGATCATTTCAAATTTAAATTCAAATTAATTTTAAATTTTTTGGTTTAGTTCACATCCTAGTGAACAAACAAATCTATCTTTTTTCTATCAAACCAAACAAATCTATCAAAACTAAAGTATTGATCATTCAATATTGCATCAGCAGAATAATGACAACTGTATATAATTATATACTGCATCTTTTGAATTCTTGCCTATTATGGACTCGTAATAGGAAAAGGTGTAAATTGGAAGCTAAAAAAAAAATGCGTAATATTACTCTCCAGTTTTAAAAACCTCTTTCTTCTTTTTTTTTAATTATTAGATTAATATTTCAACAGTTCAGATTAAATTATTTTTAAAATTATAAAAATAATAAATTATAAATTATAAACTATATTAAAATTTAATTCTAATAGTATGTAAATGCACTAAATGTTTTTAAATTTTTTTTATAAATAATTGATAAAAAATTAAAATCTAAACTGTTAAAACATGTTAATGTAATGGTTAGAAAAAGAAGAGAAGGAAGAAGATGGAGGAAAAGGAAGAAAAGGGTTGTGAAACAGATTACTCGCACGGCTATTCTAATTAATTTTGACTGCTTTCAAGTTATTAACGAGTCGTGTTATATGGATGCCCCTCATCATCTCTCCCTCTTCTCCACGTCACCCTCCACCTCCTCGTGCCCTTCTTTCTCTCCCCGGCCGGTCTCTCTCTCTTCACTCAAATTCAACAGGAAATCAACCAACTTACCAAAATGAAGGACCCAGAAGATACAACCTAAAATTACTTTAGGCTACTGGACGCACCCTGGATAAATAGTTCGGGGTGCTCACCTTAACCCTTATAACTTTAAAAACTTCAGGACACTCAGCTCTGCCTGTATATTTTCAGCGGGGCAGATTTATACTTTCTCTCACTCGTAATTTGTTTCTTAGTGAGCGGGTAACAAGTCTTCCAGGCCATAATCCTCTTATAATCGATAAGAAAAGCTAAACTTGACACATAGTACAAGCATGAGATTAACAATCTAGTTTTCACTAAAATATATATTTTAATTTATTATTTTTTTTTAAACTTATTATAAATAAGGCAGATTATATTATTGTAATTCTAAGAAAAAATTGGGAATTGGGGATGACTTATTCGGATTTGAGGATACCTTCAGATTATACGAAAGGGGTGCTTTTGAATTTCTTTGACATTTATATTTGAAACGTAGAAGACTATTTTTTAACAAAGATTATTTTTTAATCAACTTTTCAACCACGAAGAATGTTATATTTTTAGATTTTATATTAACAGAGGATCCCGGATTTAATTCATACTAAAATATTATATTTTTAGATTTTATATTAACAAGTAATTTTTTTGTTTCATAATAAAGCATAAAAATTTTTAAAATCTGGCAAAAAATTTAAGCTACAACCTCACGTGTTTTTTTTTTTTTTTTTCCCCAAGGGGTTGTGAATCTAAACTCTAAGCTAAAAATGCAATGAGCATGTAAATTAGAGTGAAATACACTAAATACCCTTCTATTTTACCTCAATTATGAAAAATCTTCTCTATTTTGAAAACATAAATAAATCTCTTTTAAAATTAAAATGTATGTTATACAAACATCCCTCCTATATTTAAAATTCTATTTCCATCCATCCAAACTTTTAGTTGGCTGTTAAGTTTTGACTTTGAGTTCTTTTTTTTGACCAAAAATGCCTCTTTTTAACTTAATAATTATTTAAACATTCCAAATTTTTTTATAAAATCAAAAAATAATTCTAATACATGTATTTTTAAAAGTATAATTTAGAAATTTATTGGTATGAGGGGTAAAATAGTATATAAAATTATTTTAATTTAAATTTCATTTAAAAATATATTTTTACAATCTTTTTAGAATATTCCTAACGGTGTTAACTGATTAAACTAAATTGGAATTTTTAAACTAGAGGAGAGACATATGTAATTGATACAAACTAAAAGGTTAGTCAGAGTATTTTACTCTAAATTATACTACCTCTTACCCCTAATGAAGAACTAGTTGAGGGTTGAATATGCTGTTTCAAACTATTTTTATTGATAATACATGTTAAGAAATGTTCATGAAAGAGTATATATCTTCAAGAGAGAATTATTATAAGGCCCTAAAAAGGGAATCTAATTATTAAGAAGTCCTAATAACAAGTGAGCATCATAAACTTGTCATTTTTTATGGTAAAATTTGTGATTTTTCCCAACTGTTAACAAACATCTAGGTAATTAAATCTTTTTCTTGGGACACAATGATAATTCTCTCTAATTTCAATACAAATAATTTCAAAGGGTATTTTGAAAAAATGAATACATATTTTTGACAAAGAATAAATTTAAGAATAAGAGGTAATAATAAAAAAGCCTCGAAATAGGGAATTACTTTGCCAAGCAAATTTCTTTCTTTCTTTCTTTTTGGGGGAAAAACAAGGCAAACCTAAACTACTGAAGATTACAAAAGACACCTACTTGCTAGTCAGGTCCCCTAAAACTATTAGTAGGGTGACTGCACATTTGGTTTACCCAAAAGGTCGGGCGTACGTGAATCAGCAAAAGGAATTCATTAAAACGCCATAATTGCCAAACAGGATCAGGAGCCAACATAACTGAGTTGATAATTTTCATGCGTGCTACTCATGCCGTTGGCGGACCACGCGCGGCACATCCAGGCCCTGATAATACAACTTGAAAGTCGGATGCTATTTTCAAATAACACCGTAAAATTTTTCACGAGTAAATTTTTCTGCCACCATTTTTCATCGGAGGAAAGGAGAAAGGAGAAAATTTTTTTTAATCAACTTGATTTTAAAAATTGGAAAAATAGAGTTAAAAACATTTAATTAATTTTTATTACTTTTTTGTTATTACATCTTCTCTTTATTAAAATTTTAAAACCTCACTTACCCAACTTTTTAAATCAAGTTTATTACATTTTTTCTCTCTTCTCTTTCATTTCCCTCATGCCAAACATAGGGATAAAAGAGTGGGGTCAAAATATTATTTCATAAATAAATAGAATGCTTAAATCTAATTTAATATTGTCACCAAAAAAATCTAATTTCATAAGATTATAAATTTATGCACTCCCATACCATACTTCCTTCCATCTCGAGGTATTTTTTGTCCCGTTCTTAAATAATTCGAACCAGGACGAAACATTGAGACAGAACACAAGTAAACACTTGTAGTGAATGTTTAAACTCAACTTTCTTTTTTTTTTTGTTTGGCGCTGATGAAAAGAAACTTATTTTATGCCATAAATCATGGATAAACTTTCCCCCTTTTTTATGTTCCAGAGAAGCAAACATTAATCGCGTGAAATTACAAATAAGATTGAATCAACAATTTTACTTGATCTCTTTTTCAGCAGTTTTAGAATTTGGGGAAAAGGTTTCTGATACTCATAGTGCTGCGATTTTATATTCAAACCTTTTATTTTTAATATTAGAATATCAGTCTCTCTTTAAGGGAACATCAAGCCAAAAAAAATAATCGCTTGCATCACAAGGAGAAATCAAACTCAAACAACCTCATACTATGAACAATATCATTGCCGACTTGAAACTTTCAACTTCAATTTATTTCATTTTACATGCTAAACAGATACAAGGTTATTGGTGCTAAGGTTTATGGCACAAGGTCAATAAATGATTAAACGCACTATTTCTGTACACGAAACCAGTGGATGGTAGCTGCAGGGTTGAAGTGTCAAAATTGAGTTCTTTGAAGAGAGCTTATAAATACTCAGTGCCAAGCTGGCCACATATAAACGTAACAGAAATACAAATAACCAATGAAAACAAAAATCTCCTACGAAGTAACCACAGCTCAAGCGCAACTGCATTTAAAATTTGCCTCAGGCGCTGAACCTGAAAATGAAACCATAGATAGGTTGTAAATCAGACGACAAAAATCCCATGCACAGTGCTTCAGACAAAAGTGTGTTTTTATGTCTAGCAAAATTCGAACGCAAAAAGAAACAAGCTATAAGGAAACAATGTATCATCCAGGATTAACTAGCTAAGTTACAACCAAAACAAACATCATCCTCAGAGCGGTAAGGTCAATTACTCAAATGACTAGAACAACCAATACCAAATCTGACAATTTTGATATAAATCCAAGCAACATGAACAAACTTGCATAAATCTAACGTTTGAGTGCATTAAAAGAAAAACCATTTCCAATGTGTAAAAAATGAAATATGCATCGTTTGCTATATTCTCCTTGTTACTACTGTCTTGTTAATTTTCACTCACAGGCACAAATATCATCTCTTATATTCAAAACTCCATTTTCCCCATCATATTTTCCTTTCTATTCCATTACATTCTTTATAATTAGGATGCAAAAGAGCAGGAAACTAGGATCAAAATTCCTGCCACAGCATTGCCTAATGGCAGGCAAGAACTTCACTTTCCCATAAGTTGACTGCATAATAGTTATATGACAAAATGCTTAAAGCTGAGACAACATACATACCTATCAGTTACTGCAGAGGAAGCTATCGCAACAGCTTTAAAATGACCAAATGGCTTCATGAACACTGCTGTATAATTGACTGTAAAACGTTAATTTACATTTCTGCTACCTTCCTTCATCAAAAGCAAAAACAGAGAAATGGGGGCGGAGATTCAATTAAACATGCCTCAATCGAATAAAAAAATTTCACAAAATTAGGAGTACTCGTATACCTCTAAGCTAAAGAAGTATTGGCAGCATAATTCTGTGCTAGTATGTAGATTTCCTTCTGTACATCTTATTTCCTTCTGTTCCTTGTTAGTTATCAACAAAGTAATACATTAAAAAAAATCACCATCAATCCCAGAAATTGTACATGACAACCTGCATACACAGATTAAAAGTAAATCACAAAGAGATGGCCAAAAGTTGTAAAGAAAATAAGTATAAGCATTTTTTCAAACAATAAATGGATAATTCTGGTATTTGTTTTTGAAAAAAAAAATGAGAAAGGCTTACTTGTGTGACTCTCTCTCCTGCTCATCTTCCTCTACACAACACTTGAACCATGAAAGAAAGTACAATTTTCACATATAGAAGGACGATCAGCAAACCCACAACTTCCTTTACCCATCGGTTAAAAATTTACAAATTTACAACTTGAAAAATAACAACTCTTCCAGGACGTGAAACAACCAAAAGATGACCAGTAATATCAAAGTCAACAATGCCCACCGATCAAATCTTTAACCAAAATCCTGATATGCATCAGCTATGCAGACTTCAGATTCCCAACATCTCCACAACATCTCAAGGGTAACCATAACTATCATTCTTAAAAGGCATCAAAAATGAATTGAATGCCCCAACTTTGTTGATTCAACAACTTCGGCAAACGTGCATAGACAACACTAGCTTTAAAAGTTGGCAAGAGTGGCTGATGTTCAACATTATAAACACAGCCCTTGATATCACCATCCAGGCCATCTTTACCTCAGGGAATCCTATATGCAGGATCACGAAACATGCTCTTCCCACGCAAGGCCCATCTTCAAACTAACTCGGCTTTTCAGCGATTGATGGCTTCCATTGCAAGCCGTACTAAGCGTAGTAAACCCTCCACATCTTGGAAGTTAAAATCAAGAGCTTTCTTGATGGGGGAGATACCCTCTGCATGCTTGCCCTTGCACAAACTTGAATTGGCAGCTGCAAAAGCAATCCGTGATTTCCTTGAGGCTTCCATGGCAAAATGCACATCCTGAGCCTGCAATCATTAGATATAAATTATACTAATGTTGATACCCAACCAAAAGAGACCAACTCAAGTAAGTCCTTCAGCCAGCATACAGTGGGTGCATGACAGATTTTCCAGTGCGAATGCTATTCTATGACACATAATAATTAGTGAATTGATAACATGATGCCTTTTGCGGCCACATAATCATAAAGAAAACTTTTATTCCACAATTTCAATTTTTTTTTTAAATGTGAAGTAACATTCTCCAATAGGGTTCCCATATAAGTTTCTGAGGATTTTCCCTTTCAAAGGCCTTCTTGCATGAAAACAATGTTCACTTACAAAATTAAGCAATCGCATTAAGTTGGGGCGATTTCGGGCAGCAATAACATGGGTTGCAGCAACTTGGGGAGGACTAACACCCTTTGCCAAGGCAATCTTGTCTCCTGCTGTAGCGTTATTAGCATTGTCAACATCAGAAGCAGATGATGAGGGAGACTCACCTGACAAAAATTCAAGGTCAAAATTCATCACCACCACATTCTCAAAATTGACAGGAGATGTGATCAAGAAAGAATGGTTGAGTTGATAAAAGGAGATAAAATAATAACATTCATCAGCATCAATAAAACCAACTGTATCTACTTGTTCATCTTATTATTAAATTATATCACACACCCAATAAACTAGATATTTTTATGTCATTCCCATGTAATAAGGGAATGTCCAAAATGATCTATGATAGTGTATATGTCATTCCAATTATTGTACAAGACGCTCAAAATATTTACCAAGTACCACCACTTGAAGCTGAGACAGTACATGTTTAATTACTAATTGGAAACGAGATTACTAGGGTGGCAAGCAAATTTTAGATCGCCTAGAAGGTTATGATTTTCATCTGGAAGAAATCTGCCTTGCAAATGCAGGAAAACTACAATAAGTGAATTTACCCAAAAATATGAACTTTTGCTACATCATAAATTTCATTACCAAGAGGAATAGATTGCAAAGTTGTTTGCAACTCATGTCGATCTCTGCTTGCACTGGTGTGGGACGAATATATTACCCTCATATATGCCACCTCCATGCATTTGTAAGCCAAAGCAGCAGCAGCCATGTCTTTCAACTTTTCAAATTCATGGGCACAAAACCTATCAAGAGGAAATGTTAAGAGAAAATAGCCACAAACAAATCCAAAATCCAATCATGAGGCTAAGATGTATAATAGAATCCACGTTTATGCAGACGCATCATCTCCAAATATGCTCACTTAGGAAATGTTGCAAAAATGGAACACAGAGAAAAGCCAGAGACCAAATATTCTAATTGCAAATGGAAAGAAATAAAGAAATAAGTAACACAGATAGCAATAGGGTAATGCTGAAAGCCTGTATACACGGGTGAAGAGAGTAGAGATAAAGTTGGTAAGGATAACGGTGCATAATAATAATAATAAGTAGTGTACAAAACATCGGTCCTCCAGCCTCTACTTAGACGAAACTATAGCAAAACAAAGATATGCATACCATTTATTTTGGGTGAACTACAAGGAAACATCACTTTAGCCAACAAAACTACACTCTTAATTACAGTCTCCATCACATCTATACTCAATCACATATTAGTCCATAGCTGACATTCTGCCCAAACTCACTAGAAAAAAATGCTTCCTAGGTTTCAGAACAGAGCCCTAGAAAAACAAGTCCCAGATGCCCTGCCTAATATGTCAAACTAAGAATCTACAGAATAGTTAAAATTATCGACCATCAATACTCCAAATTTAGACATTTGTTAAGCTTTGGAGAACGTTTGATAAAATATACAGCACAAAATCTTCATGTAGTGTGCCCAAAGTTTTTGTCAACCCCTCTTGAGGAATAGTGAGGTGCTTTCCTTGTTTTTGGCCCCAGAATCTCCAATTATATATATAGCATACCCAAAGCGCAAGGAGCCTAACAATTAGATGGAGTGAAAAGTGTGTGCAGATCGTTACACAATTATTTTTTTAGCATTTCACTTGAAGCAGTACGTTGGCCATAAAGTAAAAATGACGCAAGAAGAAGAAAATGTTAACATACTCGCACAATTTTGCTGTGCTACTGTAAATTTTCTTTGCTTGATTCATCTCACTGTATTTAGCATTATCATTGTTCCCAGATTCCAAAAGAGAGGCTCCATGGAGAAACTTGAGGGCTGCCTGGAAGTAAAGCCCAGTGCTCTCAAGAGAGGATCCTGAATTCTGCAGTGAACCCCAAATTTCTAATTAAAACCAAGAAGATCAGAAGCCTAATATTTCAGAAGGTACCATATATAAAAAGACCTTAAAACGATCAGCCAAATGCTTTAGATCTGTAGCTTCTTTCACAGCATTGTTAGCAGCATGACTGGAATATTCCCTTCTTATTGGACTTGGGGCATCAATCTCCTTGGACTTGTGTCCATTGAGCATGGAATGTCTTGAACTAAGGGGTTGAGTTCCATTTTGATTATCAGCCTTTCTGACTTGTTTTTTCTGCAGTTTTGATGCATTATCAACTTTCAAAGGATCAACCACCATATCTCCATTCCCTTGATGAAGACCAACAACTGGCTGGGGACCATGACACAATGTCTCAGTTTGAGCTCCTCCAGAAGGTGGCAACGAGAGAGACTTCCCTTTACCAAGAACTTCTTGATCAGTTCTTTCAGGAAGAGATCTCTTGGAATACCTTTCATCATCACAGTCAGGCAACTGATTCTGACCAGAGGCAGACAGCAGTTCCTGCTTACAAATGGCATCTAGAGTAGAATCTTCAACTTCATGCCCTCTATTTAACTCATTGTCCTTTTGCCCACCACCATTTCTGACACAGTCTTTCTTGCTAGCAATTATATTCTCACTTCTGTTGGATTTGAGTCCTTGCTTGTCCTGCAACTTAACTTTACCATCCCCCTGTTTTGCCTCGGATGAGGGAGACTGATCTTGCATTTGAGAAAGACTGGTCGTCTTCTTGACATTTTCAGCAGTGGGTTCTGATTTACCGCTCAGACTGTTGTCCTTCAAACGTGATGAAGAGCCTTTGGCAGTTTTCCTTGGATTAGCCATATTATTAGCACAATCAACATCATTTCTGTCTTCACCTAGGCATTGATCCTTAATCTGCTCTGTGCTAGAATATCTCCTGTATTGGTCTACAGCGTCCACACCACCATTTGTAAAGTGACTGGCAGTGATGTCAGGAGAGGGCAACATTTGAGCTTTAGATATGCTATCTAATACATGATTAACCTCTTTGTTCTGAAAATCAAGCATAGAAGGTCCATGGGAACCTTGATGGGCTACAACAAAGGATTTGTCCTTCCTAGTTGTCCCAGATCGATCGCTGCCACCATCATCTTCACCATCTAAACATCTAGTTGGACTACCTATGGCACCAGTATCATGAAAATTGTATTTACCCATAAGTTCCCCGCTAGTCAACTTCTCTGTATTTAGACTTCTCAAAGGCGATGAAGAAACTGATTCCACTGGTGAGCCTTTCGCTTCCTGAAAGCTGGCTTTCGTTTTATGTGGGCCAGAAACCTTAGAAGAGCTGGAAGTGGCGGCAACCGGAACTTGCACAGATCTTGAGTCCCTTTTCACACTGTCCCTACCATCCAAGCTCCGTTGTGACGAAGTACTCCCAGGATCTTTCTTGATTTTTGGATGTTTTGTCTGACTGTTATTTTTGTCAGTCTTGCCACTGCCTTTACTAATACTTAACTCTCTACCGTCTGACTTTGACAATCTTATCTTCTTTTCCTTACTGGAAAACTCCTGCACAGAAATCTTGCTATCCTGTTGGTGGTGATGACCCAAGTCCTGATACTCCTTCAATTTCCTTTTCTTTACACTATCAATGGCATCATGAGTCCTCAAATCCCGAGTATCCTCATCTAAAGAACCCCAGCCCTTATCCTTTGTTTTTTCAACAGAAATTTGCAGCCTGTCCTTTACATCATATTTTGAGTCTCCTAATGATGAGCGATCTTTATGCTTAGGCAGTTCCTTGCCAGCTGCAGTAGTTGGAGAACTGCTACTCAAGCTATGATGGAACTTCCTAGTAGCTCCACTTGGATCAGGAATCCACTGCTGATCAGTAAAATGCATGTTACCAGTCTTGCCTTTTTTGGATTTTCTAGAATATTCTTGATCAGCATCCCTGCAGCTTTTTGCCTTCAAATTCTTAGTATCACCTGTCAACGAATTTCAAATAGTTAATAACACAACACAAAGGTTTTTAGCAGGTCCTCCATCATCGTTAACTAGGTATTACTTAGTTGATAGCCAAAATGAATATCAGATCAAACTTACCTCTATCAGAATAGCTCTCTTGTTTCTTCTGCTTATTTTTGTGTTTTTCTCCACGGATATCAGGTTCACTAATGGCGGGGGATTTGTTCATATCACTTATGCTTCTACTTTTCATTGATGACTGAGAGTTTTTCTTTATAGAATAGGGCAACTGAGAAGAGCCATCTTTACTTGCTGAATTTGATATCTCTTTGACAGTTCTTTTCTTCCCACCAGGCATTCCATTTGAACCATGATTTAGTTGGTTTTGATTGGGATACTGGACTGCTGATGAAGGCCCTCCCATAAACACACTTCCAGAGATACTTTGACCTTCCAGTGGAGGACCTTGGAATAACGCAATAAGAGCTTTCGTAGTTTCATCTTCGCTAACACTACAACGATTCATGTCAGGCCTGCAAATTGTGGTACATATTGTCAGAGCTTTTAATCAGAAACACTAAGTCTAAACCTAGTACATTATGAATCTGATATAATTAAGATAACTAGTTGTCATTACATAAGTTATTAAGGGCCTATTGTTTAAACTTGAAATAAAGAAGTGATTTTTAGACAGTTTAAAAATTTTATGGAGTGATTTATTACATAGCGATTTTATTTTTAAAAAAAAAGGAATTATTTTGAAATTATTACCATCAAAAAGTTATTTATTATTTAATCATTTTCAGATTTTATGATATCTCAATGTATCTTTGTTTAAAAAAATGACTTTTTATCTACTCGTTTCATGATATGACCACGTATCTCAGTATTTTTAAGAACATTCTATCTCTTCTACTAAATCTACTTATTTTCATAAGCTATTCAAAGTAGTTTCTCAAAACAATAATAAATTTTTTTCCCAATTCTGATTATTTTTAAAAGCTTAAATAAACATCAGGTTCTAAAAGTGATTTTCCCCCCTATAATGTGATTTTTCCATAACAAACTGACAATATTTTTCCCAGGTAAAATAGCTAAATCAATATTTTTGCTATAGACAGATCTATTAAACAAAAGTCAATGAATAGAACTTACAGCCAGTTGAGCATACTACACAGCCACTTTTCAGGAAGGCTTTCAGGATTTGTGCCAAGTGGGAGGAGGCGCCATTTCTGACACTTATCACATTGTACCCAATTATCTAGAGGCCCAGTTGCAGGAACCCCATTTCCATTGGTTGACTCAGTGACATGCATGTTACCAGAATACCCGACTAAATTTGGGGCAGTTGTAGGATATGCTTCAGATACTAATGGCTTGTCAAATTTCTTGCCACCTAACCTCTCTTTATCTGCAGAATTAATCACAGGTCTGCTCCTCTTAACCAATTCAGAGTGCTTCAGCTTATCCTCATGAAGGGTTTCCAGTGAATCCGTTCTGTCCTCATCTTCTTCCCAGTCCCCAAAGAAATCTCTATATGTGCTTTTAGCCTTTCCATGATCTTTCTGTAATCTGGCATCTTCTGTCTCATTTTTAGACATCGAAATATCATCAATCTTCTTCTTAGCTTTTGACATTAAAGCACCAGTCCTTGAGGCTTCATTATTGCTCTCAGTAGCCATGGTCTGATTACTTCCCTTTGACTTTTTCTTCCCTCCAGGAAATGGATATTCGGTAACATGTAATGTCATACCGTCTTGTTCACACAAATCACCTTTTTGAAAAGTTTTCTTTGGAGGCTTTACGTTTTCAATGCTTAAATCTGTTCTACCTCTGTCAACATCAGATTCAGCTGTTATTGAGTGAGGTATTTCATCTCCATGAAAATTGTCTTTCATTGCACAAATTGATGAGTTATCAAGAGATGTGCCAGCTTTATCTCCTGCAACTTTCCTTGCAGAACCAACCTTCATGTTTGATGCGAAACCATTCACTTCCATAGATGTTGGATTCACTCGTCCCATGTGTGCTTGTTCAGCATAAAAGGCGTTCTCCAGCACAATATCCTTGTTGGTCTCCTTTGATGCATCACAAGGTCCACCCACATCTTTTAATGACTCATCACTGGAAGAATATGAACTTGATAAAAGTGGAAGCTTCAAGGTCTTTGAAACAAGCTCCTCAGCAGTCAATGAACCAATAACTTGCTCCTTCATTGATAAAACTCCAATATCCTTCCTTGCGCTTTCATGATTGCCAGCCTTAACTTCTATTGAGGACCCATATCCATCCACAGATTTCATTTTCTTCCCCCCTGATTTTTTTCTGTCACCCTTTACAATATTAGAATCAAGTTGCGACATGACAGAACTTTCTGGACCATCCACATGGACAGGAACAGGTATGCTATCTTTGACCCATGTTTCCTCTCCAGCTAGTTGAAGAAGATCATCAGACAGAGGAGACAATGGCATAGGAAGAGATGACATAATCTGCATCAAGAGAGCATTGTAAACACCTAATCTCTTCAAGGACAATATGAAGAAGAGAAATTTAAATTGTAGATAGATAATTCACCTGAAGAATACTAGTTGGAGAATCGAATGGAACATCACGAGGCCCACGAGAAATTTCTTCACTTTCTGAGGGGCTATCATCCAATGATGATGATGGTGACACATCAAGACCAAGTCCACTGTAGATTGCAGCATTTTTCTGAGTTGACAAATTATCAGCGCCCATTTTAATTCGAACCTTCAGTGTCTTCTGGTCGGTTGTGCTTGAAGATTTGGGGTCTATAGACTCACACCTAGAAGTGAATGCCTCAGCACAAGCAGATGTTAAGCATTTTTCTTGGTTGATTTCTCCATCAGTGGAGGGTACCTTAGCCGCAAATGGCCTCGAGGAGTTAACAGAACTAGGCCCAAGTCTCAATGACTGGGTTGCAGTTGAATATTCGACAGAATGTCCTTGCCCACCCTGTTTATTAAAAATTGAAGTCAAACCCAAATGGGATGTCATGCCATGACAAGCCATAAAAATCTCACATACAATCATCAATTTAATAAAGAAATGAACTGCATATTGGCATGCCCAGGAAGAATATACCTCTAATCGCAAATTGTTGGGAGATCTAGGCATATTTTGATTATGAACTTTTGGTGGAGTCCTTGGATGAGACCAAGCAGGAGAGCGTGGATAAACAGGTAAGAATGATCCATACCCACCAAATTTAGCCCCTGTAACAACAAATTGTTTCCCAGTACATTAGGATGAAGTGCGTGATCATGTGAAGTTAAACTGAGATAAATCATGATTCAGCTGACTTGCAACTTACCTAGATTCTCTGCTGAAACTCCACCTTCAAAATCTTTTTGGAAGTGTCCCAGGACAACTTCAATTTTTTCATCCTAAGAAAAACAAAATTCCACATGCTCAATGTTTGAAGGAAGAACCAATAATTCGGGGGGTTGAAATCTAAAATGATCAACAGCCTCAGCAAGATGCAGATTAGTTATGGCAGAAATATAAACATTGTTCCCTTACTGGAAAACATAGGCTAGGATGTATCAAAGAACTACATTATCAGTAAGATATGTATTTCATGCTATCTAAAGATTAAAGAGGAGAATAAGAGCAGCACAACTCTAATTTATTGTGGTGCACAGCAGACATTGCATAGATACCACTCTGAGAAGAAACTTACATTCCAAAACTATAGACATTAATTTACAATCCGGGAGAAATTATTCCTAGATAAGAAATTACATTCAGGCTGAACCGGATTCATAATCACCATCTATTCAAGTAGGTTAACAGGAACGCTTTTCATCTTCCTAATGCTTCAGCGTTGTGATAGAAAAAGCCACTAAATTTGCAATCTTCGGGAAAATCCCTTATGTAAAACACCGTAAAATCTATATCCCTTTTCCTGGCAGGAAGTTCAGCTCAGCAAATCTCGAAATGGCAAAATTCATACCATATACGAAACAAAATGTTCAATTGGATCTAAGACAGTGAGCCAAGTGAATACTAAATAACAATACAAGAATTTGGAACTTTAAAACTAAAATTAACTGATAAACAAAAAATAACAACATAAAAGCCCTTACAATGTAAGAGAGGGCAACGTCGGGGTCGATGCTGGCGTCAAAATCTTCGTTGTTTTGATAGGAGCATGCCTCGCCTTCCTCAAGCTCAGACTCCTCCATATCTACCTTACCACCACCAGCACCGCCAAGGCTTAACCCTAACCCCTTCCTTGCATCACTACTTCCCACAGAAATCATCCAAACAAACACCAGAATATAATAAAAGTTGACAACTTATGTCACCACAATCACAACCCACCGTCAAAATACCAGCTTGTATCCGACCAAATTCGTGGGATGTAAAAATTACCGCTGTTCGTGCCCTAAACTACTGGTCATCAAAACGATCGCGTAGAAATCACAAACGCAATTCTGTATAACAAAAATCGATTTAAACGATGAAAACTCTCCTCACGTTTAAGAAAACTTTAAACGCTCTAAATCTAGAACCTTGTTTCGTCGTCAGCTCTGATGTTCTAGTCTTCTAGAGCTGGGATTGATCAACAGAGTTTCTCTCCGTCCCCACCTCTCTCCCTCCCTCCCTCTCTCTGATTTTTGGTGAATACAGCAGCCGCGTTTTTTTCTCCCCTTTTTTAATTGAATAATAATTTTGTTGAATATTATTTTAATCAGGAAAGAGAAAGACCGGCGCAAGAAGACTAGTTGTGGTTGATAAGGGAAAGTGAAAGGAAAACAAGCCGTTTTTACGCTTCACGCATCTTTTATCTGTACTTTCCACTACAGATCCTTATGGCAGGATCAGACCTTGCCACACTTGGACCCGTTAACGATTAACGAAGCGCGTGGCGTGGCCTCACCGTTTTATAGGGTGTTTGGCAAAACCAAAACCAAGGTTTCAGAATCACTTTTCCGCAAAACGAGATAACCTCCTCCACATATTTACTTCGTAATCCATAAAAGCACTTCTGAAACCATGGTTTGTTTTCTATCCAAACACCCCCTAAGAATCCCCATTAAGATTTTTACTTGATTTGATGATTTATATTAGGAGGCTTTATTTTTACGTAGTTAAATCAGATTTCAGGCAAAAAAAAAATCTTATCAGTTTGTAGTTATCTTTTTTTCCCACTAATTATTGGGGTCACAAAATGAACATTTTTTAATTTGACTTTTTATAAAATGAATATCATGAATGATTAGAATAATGCCGCAATAAGTATTTCCCCCCCCCCCAATCATATATCATGTTGACAGCTAAAATAATATGAGAAGGGATGCTGACCAATACTAAAACATAATTTCGTATAAATTTGTTCATAAGGTGATACTAAAATCAATATTGAATATTAGGTATTTTATAAAAAATGATAATAATGTGATATAAAGTGCATGAAAAATAGCCAATAAATATATTAGTTATTAATGATCGTTAATTATAATAAAATTTGTTATGATGATGATGATGATAATTAGATTGAGTAGAAATCGGACCAGGGATGGCAGTCCTTTTTTGTCATTCTTTTCACAAAAGTAGCTTACAAATATGGAAAGAAGAGATGGGACAAAAAAAAACTTGTAGACTATGGCTCCAACAATAGTTACATAAGTGATTGAATCATACACTTGATACAATTAAAATATTAAGGATATAATAGGAATATAAGTAACAATTATACAACGTCTAGTATCCATCATTTACGACTGCGGTATCTAATCCTATTCGCTTCCCTAGCTTTCGTCTCTCAGTTTCAGTGTCGGCTTAGCAGAGTGCTTTTATTGTTAGTGTTCTTTCTAATCTTTACGCATTTCATCGCTCCACCAAAAATTCCCTCTGCCCCTACTGTACTCCAGCTTGAGCCCTGGGATTTGACAGCGAATTTAAAAAACCACTTACAGACACTTTACACCCGATCAGTCCGGATTTCATTAAAATGTGCATAATATATTGTGCCATATGGGTCACTCAATCATACATCTGAAAATTGTTTATATAATTATATAATAGCTGATAATTTTATTAAATTATCTTTGAGCATTCTATTTATTTACGAAATAATATCTTGACACAACTCTTTTAATATTTTACTCGTGAAAAAATTTATGGTGTTATTTAAAAATAGCTTCCAAGTCGTACTGTGAAGGTTTGAATGTGTCTTGGCGCGTGGTCCACCAACGGCATGAATAGAACGTATAAAAATTATCAACCCAGCTGTGCTCACTCCGGATCATGTCCGGCAATTATCGTGTTTTACTGAGGATCCACATTCCCTCTTCATCGGGTGGATTCCCAAGCGACAGAGTTTGGGGGAATGAGTCCTTTTTTAACCTCATTAACAAGTTGGATAATATCGTTAACAATAGATTTTTCTTAAAATAAAAGAGTGATTTTTTCACAACTTTAGTAATGTTGTTAACAAATCGTATGATAATATTAACAATTTACATAATATCATGTATTGAGTGATCTGAAAACTTTTTACACTTCAAAATACTAGTTATGACATCATAAATAGAAAATTTTACAACTCCTATAATAAAGTTAATAAGTTTTTTTAATCATAGTAACAACTCACATAACGTCATTAAATCAAAAAGATTTTTTTGACTTGAAAATGTGATGTTTATACAAGAAGAGGCCAATCCATATCCTTATCCTTGATAGCATAACAATAAAACCACTGCGAAGCTGGGTGATTCCTACCTATTGGGCCAGAAAAAAAAGGGCTTGCTTGTCATGTTTCCGGGTCCTATAGGGACAGGCCCCAATGGATTAAACGTTAGATGCCCTGTCCTTGATCGTGGGTGAGCCCGACCCTTTCCTAAAATTTCTTCAACTAAAAAAAAAAACAATAAAACCACTGCAATGTACATAGGCACCCACGAAGAAGTACAAGAGAGATTACAGTCATCACTGTCTGAAGCACCAAACACTTTCTTTGCCACACGCAGATCCCATGACTTTTGATCATGCGCAAAACATCATTATAATGTAATCAGGTTGATGAAAATCAAAGCCTTCGTATATGGAAGTCAGGAAAAATGTGAATGCCATCTAACAAGACATTCCCAACAAAATTAAAGACCCTGTGATAAATGAGGTCATCACCAAGCCTTTCCATTCTATCATGTTGCGCTGACCGGCCACTGCTTGCCAGGAGCATGGATATAATGGAGGAAAATGACAAGAATATAATCATAATGGAAATGACTCCATAATTATCTTTTCGGTTCAAACAATAATTATACCATCTGATGTCAATATCACAATCCTCGGCGCATTTCATATAAAAAATGTTACAAAAGATCGCGTCACGGCATGTGGACAACACTTCAAGGAACCAGATTAGACACCCATCGGCAGAACACGAGGATTCATGACTCACTTGCATTAACCAAACACCTCTCTTAGCTACCAAACCCTATTCTGTACCAATTGATTATTTTCCTCCTCTCAAACAATGTCACTGCAATACTCGTAGACAAAACCAACTAAAAAGAATTCTTAGAAATCCTTACCTCCGTCTATGGCAGTTCTCATAGATGGTGATACCTCATATTTCGACTCGGAGCACGATGGTTTCACGGCCTCCCTCCTCGTCTTTTTCCTCTTCAGCTACACACAAAACCGATGCCTCCCTCCTCTCTTTTCCCCTCTTCAGGTAGACGCGAAACCCAGGCCTCCCTCTTCCTTTTATTTTTCCTTAAAGCTCCTCCTCCATACAGACCCTTTAAGATGTACAATCAATAATCAATAAATATAATTTGAAAGAAGGAATAAAGTGTATTATAGTTTTATATTTAAAATCAAATTTAATTCCCAACTAATTTTTTATTAGGAGCCAAATGTAATATAATTTACTTAACTTACTCATTATATTTTTAGCTCAAAATTCAAGCGAAAAATTGGGGATCAAACAAAAAATTACCTGTTAATTCAAAATCTCAAAAATAGTATTTTGGTATGAATTAAATTAAATTGGGATCCCCTTGTTGGCTGCCTCGTGAACCAAACATTATCTGCTGTTGAAGAGTTCGTTAAAAACCTCTATTTCAGGAGGCTGCCATTGATGAGAAAAGTAAGATTGGGCAAAGATTAAATTGGGTAATGTGATTTATATTTGGATTGAATTTTGTAGAAGTTAAATTGGTAAAAAATGAAAAGGACAAATGTTGAGAAGTGTTAGCTATGTGAAGCACACAGCCACCCCATTGGCACGATTAGATACAACCATAAGTAAGGAAGAAGCAGCTTTTGAAAAAATCAGATTCGAGCCAACTTTTGGTCCTTAAATCATACTCATGGACTAAAAGCTCAGCCAAACACTTAAACACTATAAAAGTCACTTATTTTGGATCCAACGTGGATCCCAACACACACTAAGCTATCTGGCCTTCTTTCAGTCAAGTAGTTTGTATTTTTTTAAAAAAAAAATTCGTTAAAAAATGTAGTCTTTCACGTTTTAAATACAAGGCAATTCAAAAGTTCCCCTTTCATCTAATTTGAAAGTATCTCTCAATTCCAAAAAGGATATTATCCCCAATTCCCAATATTTTCTTAGAATTACAATAATATAAATATGCATTATTTATAATAAGCTCAAAAAATTATAAATTAAAGTATATCTTTTAGTGAAAACTAGATTGTCAATCTCATGTTTTATACTCTGTATCAAGTTTAGCTTTTCTTATCGATTATGACAAGATTATTGCCCTGAAGACTTGCTACTTGTTCACTAAACCACAAATTGCAAGTCCATAATAGGCAAGAATTCAAAAGATACAGTATATAATTATATATAGTGTTTATTATTCTACTGAGAATCAATATTGTATGATAAATACTTTAATTCTGTAATAATTAAAATTTGTTACATAATTAAAAATTTCCACCTTGATTTCATGTGTGTTATATGAAGGGGGTGGCATGCATTATTTAGAATAAGATGAGTGAACTAAACCAAAAAATTTAAAATTAATTTGAATTTAAATTAAATTTGAAATGATTTCTTTAAACTTTAATATTGATTTGCTTCATTTTATTGCGAAAAAAGTATTAGCTGGCAAAAAAAAGGACTTAAATAAAAAATTTTATAATTTGATTTCGAAACAGAGTGTATATTAGATATAAAACCGATAGGAGATAAACGATAGATGAGATACCTTTGAACAGCATATTAGAGGTATTATGTGACATGACGATAAGATCGCGCTTACTTCTTTCAAACAACGTTTATATTTATAATAAACATATTTTTTAAAAAAATTATCAATAGGACAATGATATTTTTAGTAAAAAAATTGATATTTTAATAATAAAAAGCAGATAAAATAGAATCATTAATGTTCTTAATAGATAAAAGAATGAATATACTAAAAATATTTATCGCCAAAAATGTCTATCTATAAAAATATGTTGATTTCTTTTTGCATCTCAGTTGAAATTTGGTCATTTGAAAAAAAAGATTTGATAAAAAAGATCACTTCAGTTGAAATTCAAAGTGACACAAAAATAAAATTAATTAATTGATATGTAGTATGTAATACCTCCGGTCCTAATTATAAGAGCCAGTTGAGTAATTTGAGGAGATTAAGGAAGTAAGTTGAGTTAGTTATATGTTTAAAATAGGTGTTGTCTTTTCTAAAATATCTTTGCTGATCAAGTGTATTGACTAGAACTATCATTGTTAGAAGGGCTACTTTGAAAAAAAAAAGTATAAATATAAGAGACAAAGTGGATTGGGATCTTATATTTAGGACCAAAATAAAAGTTAAATAGGGTCTTATATTAAGAACCGGAGGTAGTATTAATTTAATAGCAGGTATATATATACACGCACTACATAGCCCAACCGCAAACTTAACCCTCCATGAACCCCAAATCCTAAGGCTCATCAGTCTCATTAACCACAAGCTCATGATGCCTTCCCTGGATGCAAAACTGAGTCACATACACGCTACAGCCTCAAATGGCAGCATTATTCCTTTCCTTTCATTCCTCTCCATGTTTTTGAAGAAATTTTACTAAGACTAGACACTCAAACCTTATTTCAAACTCTCACTCGCCTCTGCTATGGCAGCCAGCCACTATGGTGGAAATTCCTTCCAGATCCTTCATTCTTTAATCTGTTGTTTCCTGAAACTACTATTCCTTCTTCTCTGTCTTGTATTTTTCTCTCTCTTTTCCTGACTTTTGAGGAATTTTAGCGCATGTTTGGATTAACGTTTTCAACAAAAAACGTGCATTGGAATGATGCAAACTCACATTACTAGCAGATAAATGTTCAAACAAATGTTTGAGTGAGCGTTTTTGCAAATGAATTTTTGAGTAAAAAGATAGCCTAACGCTAAAACTAATTTTTTGAGTTTTTGCTGTCACAAACGTGGAGAGAGAAAAGATGGTAATAAAAAAGACAAAATTACTCCTAACAAACCCAATAATTTATACTACATATTCTTAATATAAAAGTTAGATAACTAATTTGAAGATATTAATAAAATTAATTAATTTAATTATTTGGAATAAATTGATGTTGTTTTACCTAAAATATTCTTGTTAATCATGTGCATTAAAACTACCTATTAATAAAAACTCCTTAATATGTATAATCACTAAAAGGATTATTTGGGAACAAAATAAATAAATATTTTAAAATTTCACAAATAAAATATTTTTATTTTATCATAATAATTTTAGGTATTATTTTAAGCAATTATCACATTAAAAACATAAAATATCAAACACTACTATTCGATAAAGTCTATGCCTTTTTTAGTCATTTTACAACTAAACTCACTTTTCTATTAATCATCCAAATAATTTTAACTTTTTCAACTGATTTTTTATAAGCACCTATCCAAACATAAATCGCATTATACTGACTGACCTTTACTCTAACTTCAATTACAAAAATCAGTTAGTATAGAAGTCAGTTTTATCTACCGTCAATCTAAACACACTTTTAGTTTTTCATCGTTACAGTGGAAATTGTTCCGTGGGATTTTGTCTCATGTCAGGATCTTGGTCTAAGTTGTTTTAGGTTGACTCAATAATGAAGTTAACCTTCAGGACGAACTGTGCGCATTTCCGCGTCCCCATCCCCTGAACACCCTAACTATTTCTTGGACGCGTCTTGGACCACCATAAAGGTTTTCGATAGCACTTGTTACATTTTTTAAATAAAATATAATCCGTTCAGAACTAAAGCAGAGTTGAAAGATCATAACATTGGATTGAGTACTCATCTTTTGGCATATTCACTCTAGATTTAAGTTATTCATGTTATACGGTATTTTTTAACTTTTTATTTTTTATCAACAAATCAGAAGTTACTGGGTAATATAATTTATTAAGAATTAAAGTTAAACTTATTTAGCTTAAAATTCAGACAATAAATAGAAAACCAACACCATCAACTCCAGACGCGCAAAATAGCTTGCAAAAGAGTAAAACCAATCGACCTTTTCTATTTGGATTCGAGATTCCCTTTGTGGCCTGCCTCCTAAGCCACACAACCTTGCCGTCGAAAAGTTTGTTAAAAACTTTTTGGAAAAAAGCGAGGTTTAAAAAAAAATATTTCTTTTTTTTTATAGGAAAATATGTAGTCTTCTCCGTTTTAAATACAAGACAATATAAAAGCGCCCCTTCGTCATTCGCACGTACCCCACAATGAAGGCCAAAAAAAAAATGTATCTCTCAAAATCCGAAAAGGATTATCCTCGATTCCCAGTATTTTCATACAATTAAAACAATTAATTCCTACACATATTCGATGTAAATCAATAATTCATGTCCCAATGAGCCCAAAGCCGAAAGTAGTGGTTGCAGTACTGCATCAAGCCATCAACAAAAGGACAAAAGAAAAGTGGGGAATTGAAAAAGAAAAAGGAAGGATAGATGTATCCACTGGTTGACCAATAAGAAAGCGGCATAGGCCACGAGGTTTCGTTCACCTGACTGGAAAATTCATGCCTGGGGTCCCTTGAAAGGGACGGACAATCATATCCACCCATTGAATAATGAACAGTTTGCCTAAAAAGCAGTGGAATACGCATTACTCTTCCAAAACTAACGGGCCAGAATATGCCTCACGAGTTGCGCTTCAAACCTTCAAATGAAGTAAGAAGGGTGACACACTGAAGAGGATTGGAATCGCCCACGTGACGCGCGCCCTGCATGGATATCGTGAAGGTATGTCCAAAATATGTACAAGAAAAGACAGGAATATTCCTTCTTTTGGTGGGAACACATGACCAATGCTAAAGTAGCAATATGCATAATTACATTTTCTTTTTCTATTTTTCATTGAAAAATCGACCGTTCATATTTATTATTGTTATTGATTTGTTTTTGCAGGAAAACGAATAATACAAGAGTAGGATTATTTTGATGCGCCTTCAAACTGATCTCTCAGCTGCTCGTACTTTTTAAGCTCAGCCATGGACAGAGAAGGCGTCAGCTCCACCAAGACCTGCAAATCAGAAAATGGCAGTCAAAAGAACAACCGTACAATATAGAGCTTGGCCTTAAAATCAAGAGTTGTAAAATTTTAGCATGTTTCCATTCCCAACATGTATGATAGGCAGTGGAGAGACTATCCTGTCAGTAACTGCGTATTCCCAGAGGACGTTGAAATTCCAGACTGACAATCATTGACAGGCATTTGACTTGCTCTCATTCAGATAAGAAAGCTCACTGCACCTGGTGCTGACGGGAATGGCGTAGGATGGGGTCGAGGTATATATAGACAATATGTGGTATCACATTAAACTTGGTGAGTAATGCAGGCAACTTTCCCACTAAATTTGATTGATTACAGACATTTCAATCACGTTAAAATATAGTGCCAAGAAACTTTTTCTCTCATGACATTATTGGCCATTTAAAGGCCCAAAGCCAAGTAACTTTACGATCCCTACTGAGGGGCCCAGAATTAAAGCCAACAAGAGCAAGTTACCTGGACAAAATCACTGTATTCAACAACAACAGAGTCTGCTTCATCATCTTTACAGGAAGACTCCGGATCTGCACTTAAAACCTAGAAGAAGGCAGCAAGGATTAGCACCTCCTAAAGCACAGATTAATAATTCAAAATCAAAAGAATATTTAGGTCTCCCAATAATTTCCCTGCTCGCCAGGGTAAATAGACAACTGATTTTCTCTCTATAAAATTGACAGTTCCATCATCTCAACTGCCATAACAGGCCTAATGTCAAAATGCAAATGACGCAAGTAGCAGTTATCACCATTTAGGCCACACTTACCTTGCGTTTCGCAGCCTGAAACCATGCATCTGCACACAAGGCATACATGTCTGCACCAGTAAAGTTTGGTGGACACTTCTTAGCTATTGAGTAAAGTGACACGTCTTCAGACAATTTAAACTTTCTGGTGAGTGCTTTAAGGACCCTGGGAATATTAACAATTGAGGTGAACACGGGCATCCTACATACAACAAACACATCATGACAACGATAGAAAAAGAAGAAAAACTTACCTCTCTCTGTAAGATGCATCCGAGTTTACTCCAACATACAGCAGTTTATCAAATCTGCCCGGGCGTAAAAGTGCAGGGTCTATCAAGTCCGGCCTGTTACTTGCACCTATGATAAAGAGATCCTAAAGGAAACAAAAGAGGTTCCACGTGTCAGAAGCAAAGTAGTTAATGTAATATTTTATAACAATGCATCTCCATGCCATAAAAACCTGTGCAGAATCATTGAGGCCATCAATCTCTGCCAGCATCTGATGTAAAAGGAAAATTTACCACATTAGGAAACCCAAAGAAAGAATGCATGAACACAACGGTCTTCCTCAGAAAAATAAAATCACCTGAGAAACCACTCGGTCCATAACACCCCCAGAATCCCCAGAAGCACCCCGAGCTGGAGCAAGAGAATCAAGCTCATCGAAGAAGATAACACAGGGTCGTGATGATCTGGCCTGTAATGTGCATAATATTTGATGATCACAAAATTGGATAATGAAAATTGCCCCCACCCCTTCCAAATTCTTAAATTTCCTACAGCTTCAGAATTCTTTAGACCCAAGTAAGAAAAGCACTATACCTTCTGGAAAGTGTCTCGCACATTCTTCTCAGACTCTCCAATGTACATGTTGATCAGCTCAGGCCCTTTTACACTAAGAAAATTTAAGGAACATTCAGTAGCAACAGCTTTGGCTAATAACGTCTACAATCCAAAGGAAGAGCAAGAAAATTAGGAGACAAACTTCAGTTAGAATTAAAATAGCAGATAAATTGCCTAAAAAAAAAAAAAAAGCAGATAAAAAGGCCAAGTAGGGACTGTTGACGCTCTGTAACTTACTTTGCCAGTTCCTGGGGGACCATACAGAAGAACACCAGACCGCTTACGTAATCCAGATGAAAACAGATCCTTATGCAGGAGAGGCAACTGAAATGTAAAGCACAAAATGAAATATTTAGAAACAATAGCCTGTCAATTGTCAACAATTTTGCCATGCTTTCGTCTCTATATAATATAACTAAAAAAAAAACTATTCATGAGCAATGAACAGGTGATTTATTTTTCAAACTCCATACAATGTATGAGATTCACATTAGTTTAAAATATAAAAAATCTGTACATCTTTCACTGTTCATTAGCCAAGAGCAATATCACTTTTTCCCATAATATATTATTCACAAGCCACATGAACAATGTGGTTTGCATTGGACTTTGTGCTTCTCTTTTTTCTATTATCACCACTAGTGTCATTCTTTCTTTTCTCTCCACTTTTTTGCCATTTCAAATTTGAATTTTGAATTTCCTGCCTGAACTTTTTTTCAAATAAATAAATTCTTCAATCAAAAAGTTTCTACCGGTTTATTATTTATCCCATGCATTGCATGGGGAAAATCTAATTAAAGATAAGCAATAAAATAGAGAAGAAACAAACTTAATAAATTAAAATTAAAATAACTTGAAGGAGAAGAGGACTATGTGTCATCTCCATTTAGACAATGTCATACACCAACATTGATAACACCTTAACTTCTTCTAGCATTTCTAAGAGGTTCTCATTATTCTACTCAATCCTGGACCGATGCTGGCATTACCATCAATAAACATCTACTGGCCTAGGGCAGTACAGCTAGCCTGTGCTTACAATGTCTAGATAGTCAAAAGAATGCATTACTCTTCCAGCCATATCTAATCTTCAATTTCTCTGAATACTCAAGCTGACAATTAATCAGTAGTTGAGGGTCACATAATTAAGTCCACATTCTAGAATCCTTGACTTCAGACGAGGGATATCAATACTCCAACAATTTCACATCAAATCTGACTTAGTTGACATACATGCAACAGGAAAGACAACATCCTAACATGTCATGAACTGTTAAATAGGAAATATCTCTAAAATCTCCAGTTAGTATCTCTTGATTATAAATAGAACTTCAGTTACAAGGCTGATACCAAATCAGACAAAATTTTTATCTGCTAGTGATTTAACAGAGATGTAAAAAAAGTTTTACAGGCAATATGTGACTATGAAAACAGTTATGCTGGACAAGTGACTCACCTGAACAGTATCCAGTATGGATTTTTTCACGTCTTCAAGCCCACCAACATCTTCCCATTTGACATCTGGAACCTGAGAGACAAAAATTCAATCTCAGATTTCCTGCATTGAGGAGCATAGTCTCAAAAAAGATCATGTTAATTGCTATTTGTATATGTTTCTTTGCAACAATAACAGCGGCATTTCTGATCCAGGTTTCTAGCACTGATCAATGCAGATGAGAAAAACAATCATGGAAAGCTGGTTCACTTAATGTACCTTTGGAGCACCCAATGCAGCGGCATTTCTTTTCTTTGATCGTTCCAAAACTTTTGCCAAGTGTTCTTTGCCTTGAACCTCTGGTGAAACTCTCCAGTGGTTACTGTCCCGGATCACTTCAGAACTAGAAGAATTATCAATATCCCCAGGCCTGGCTTTGTCTACAGCATCAGAACTCCCGGGAAATAAGTTGGCACCAACATCAGCAATCAAAGCACACATGTCTCTGGGCATGAAACCAGATGTCTGCCCAACTATTTCTTTTACAAAACTCTCAGCATCAGTCTGCAAGAAGCAATGGTCTGATTGGTCAAAATCAACAGTAATAATCAAATAACACCAACCTATTGTCGAGTCCCATCTTTTGACTTGAAAAGAGGGCTTTTCCAAGAATAATCAATGTCTCAAATGCGTTAAACTACACAAACAAGATACAGCTCCATTTTTCACTTACAATAGAGAGGACACTTTGCAGTGACTGAGATAGCATTTCAGCTCTTTGCTCTTCAGTCAAAGGCCCCATTTTTATTTCATGGCTGAAGCAGCGTCGGATAGTCGAAGGCAGACCTTCTGAACTAGCAGCAGCTGCAATCAACAGGATCTGATGCCCACTTCTATTTTCAGCACTCTTCTCAACCTTCACCAGCACGTTGTGAAAGTTAATATCTTTAAAACTATGTTTGTTTAAAAAAAACAATCACAATCCTGTCAGTATTTCCATTCTTGATTTGGATTTATTACTTCACTGGACCAGTGGAAAAAGACGTATGCAAGGATTTATACATGTACTTAAAAATTGTATTTCCTAGACCTTCAAAGATATTATGCTAGGAGGACAGTTTCTGCAGGACAATTGGGAAAATATATAGGTAAAATTATGGACTAAACAGACCATGGATATGCCACCATTTGATCTTACAAATTCACCATTTGATTTCTCATGGGAGTATATGCCACCATCTTTACGAGTTGGCTCTGTGAATTTCTTAAGAATTGATGCAATTTCAGATGTATTGCCTCTTTGATCATTTATTGGACCCTCAAGGGCTTGCATGTCTCGAAAAACTTCAAAATGATGGAGAAGAAGTATAGTTGGTGAGTATCTGTAAAAATATCATACACTAAGTGCGGGAATCAAACTTTACAGATAACACAAAAACCAGTGAAGTCAATTTCTCAAATCCAGACATAACCTAATAATTTAGTTCATGGCCCAAGCAAGGCCAGAAATCTCACAAACAAGTCTAAATCGGAGAAAGGATTTTGTGCGTGTGTGAATTAAAAAGAAGACATGTGTTTGTTATCCTGAAAAGAACAACCAGTGAAAAGACAATGGTAAAGTATATGTTTCTCATCAAAACATACATAGGAAATGCTTGGGAATGTAACTTCAAAACAAATTGCTTTCCTATATCCATAATGTTCAAAATATATACCTTTGAGCTGTCTTGAAAGCCTGAACTAGAGCGACAGATGTGTTCCTCTCTGATACTGTTAAATCATGGCAATTATATTCCACCACATGCAGGCCTAATCGACGAGCAACATATCTAACAACAGTCCGCTTTCCACAACCTGCATCATCATGCAATCAAGAATACAAAATGCACCACCAATGCATTTCAAAGTAACCGTTCAAGTGATGTTTTCTACAGAAACCAATCAATCAATATATTATCAATAAATAAATGAACAACTGAATTAATTGCATGTCAATACCACAAAGTGCATAGTTATGCGATCAGGAACCAATGCAATACAAGATAACCATTTAAGTGATATTTTCTCATGAAACTCATCAACACAATATATATTATCCAAAAAAAAAAAATAGCACAAAAAATATCACTTGCTAATACCAAACACAAATCTTTTTACAGGAGATAAACTGGCATTGACAGGAAGAGAATCAGTTACAAGTTTTTGTAGAAAACAAAACGGGGCAATCTAGAACACACCTGCTAAGCCATACAATAGAACTGAAACTCTGAATTTTAAAGAAAGTGCTGATGGACAGAAAGCTGGTGTAAGTACAGAAGCCAAAATTTTTACTGTGTCCCCTTGTAAAGGCACAGGTTCTTCTGGTCCAGCAATTAACGAATCTGGTGGAAGGGCAGAAGAGGAGCTCCCTCCCAGCACCAAAGCAGTTGAAGCTCGATTGACACGAAGAATTGGTTCGTCTGATGGTTCCATAGCAACGACCTGAAGATATAAGTTACATTCCAATAGTAACCTGAAACACATTGCGGTAGGTCTTGAGCATTTATAGTAAAGAAATAAATAGATTTACCTTGAAATAGATAAGACTTTCATTTTTCTTTTGTGATTTCCGGTTGCAAGGAATACATGCAAAGGAATTGCAGTTCCAATTTATGCTGATGCTGAAAATATCTCCTTTTGCCAAATATCTATCCACTTGAAAATATTTTTGTAATGCTAAATCAATCATATTTTGGCGGTCTTCTGATTCAATAGACGAACTTCCTCTGAGGGTTTCAAGGGTACCACATTCTGGTATCTTCACAAAAGAAACCCTTAGATGCGATGCACACCTAGGCGCTTGAACCAAAGGTACAAATTCTATATCAATGACAGAAGTCTCAGTGCTTTTTGAAGTAGCCTCATCATCACCTTTTGGATTAAAATAAGATGCTAATACCTCTTCCTCTTGTTGTAGGATGGACTCTAAGCATGTTATGTGCAAATTGAGGTTGAAAGCTAAGAGAGGAGATATATAAGCGACTTCATCATCTACTGTGTCGCCGTGAGGGAAAGCACAAGAAGGAAATACAAGCATTATATGGGCAGAGGGCAGTTTAACATCAGATGTGCACTCATCACTGCCAGGAGGATCTAGGGCAACGACCTGAGCAATTCTCTGTATGTTCATCTCAACATTCTTCACGAGCACCTTGCATAAGGGAAAAAGATGTATTAATATTTGCACTTCAATTTATGAGGAATGGAATGGGCAAACTTGAAAAGTTTCCTGCAGTTTCACATTGGATGTCTTCTCTGAATTGTTCAATAGCGCATAATTTTTATACAGATAACAGAAAATCAATTCCCATCTCCGTATAAAATTTTACAACATAAACATAGAATCATCTGCTATGGAACGCACTTGGATTATTTCTTTGAGTGTGATAGAGCAGTCTCATCACTTTCATATATTATGCTATCTTTGTTTAGGAAACAAATTCCCAAGAAGCAAACTACTCAAGCGGGCTTATATATTAGCTCAATTATTTAACTTCAATTTGAGGTTCTATACTGCACGTGATTGGAGTTTCAAATCGGCACCCACTGAAAAGGACTCAAAAATGGGAGAAAGAAATACTAAGGACGTCATCCAGGATAATTACCAGCGAACCCGAGGTTATAGAAAGCCTTCTCAAACGCGAAGTTGATAGGCCGACCGACGCAGAATAGTCAAGAGCATCCGATTGAGGTTCTGGTCTCTCGTTTTCACCCTCTGAGAGTCGGAGAATCCCCACAGGTAACCGCAAATTCCCGGGAGAGCCGTCATCGAAGAGCTTGTCTCCAGCTCCAGTGTTTGCTTCTCCACCTTGTGACGAGCTGAGCACAGAATTGATGAGCAATTTGGTGGAAGCGAGTACCAGAGGTTTCCTCCTTCCCGCCATTTGACAATGCTTCAAATCATAAACCACTAAAAGAAACCCTAAGTTGCTCAATTCATATGCACAGTTAGAGAGATCGAACTTGCGCTCTGTCTCAACTCAAACGATGCAGGTGACGTTGTTCTCGGTTCGCTGACTCTGACGCCATTTTTCATTTGGCGGATTTTACCGTTGCGCGGGTGAGTTGTTAGTATCTGGGTAAAGTCGTGGCGCATTATTCACTAAACCCGGGACCACAGCGAGTTCAGGGTACGCCGCAGATTAACGAAATGAGGCTAATATCCCCCCTCTCTTTTCAAATATTATTATGGTAACTACTGCTTCTTTCGCGTATTACAAGTTGGTAAAAACATAATTAAGGTTTTGTTTGGTTGGAGGAAAAGGGAAGGGAAGGGAAGGGATATTTCTTGTTTGGCTTATAATAGGAGGGAAGGGAAGGTAATTATAAATTGACAAATATGCCCCTATCTCTATATTTATACTGTTTTATTCTATTATTACAATATTTATATCAAAATTATTATTTTTTAATTTATCAATTTCAAAGAAATCCATTACCTCACTTACATGTGATAAAAAATTATGATAAAACTAAAAAAAATTAGAAAATATTATGCGATATGTATATATTATATAATTATAATACACACATTATGATATGTGTATATATATATTTTTTTTTGATAAACATGATATGTATATATTAATATGTATGCATGTTTGTAACCTATCTGAGATTATAATACACATGCTATGATATATAATTATAATATACACATGTTATGATATGTATATGTTAATATATATTATATGTATATATTATATAATTATAATATTATATTATCATTATCAAATATTATTAGTGGCTAAAAAGAGAAAGAAGTGAAAAAAAGATTTCTAATAAAAGGAACAAACTTGGAATATTGAAAAGTTAGTATGGATAATTTAGTCAATATTAGACATAATATTTCTCTCCCCTCCAAAAAAACCCAAAATTTGGAGGAGCATAAAGAGGGGAGAGGGGCACTAAAAGATAAATTTCTTCCCTCCCCTCTCCTCTATTTTTTCCAACCAAACACACTTATCCCCTCCCCTCCCCTCCCCTCAACAACCCTCCAACCAAATAGAGCCTAAATGATATTACCTCATATTCTTAATATAAGAGTTTATTGACCAATTTAAGTGAATTAAAAAAATTAGATAAGTTAATTATGTAAAATAAATATATGTTGTTTTTCTTAAAACACTCTTACTAACCATATATATTAGCTAAAATTACCATTTGATGAAATATTTAACATGTACAGCTACTATAAAGAGTACTTTGAGAAAAAATGAATAAATATGATAAATAAAATAAAATAAAGTCATCTATTTATAACCAAATTAAATGTTAAACTAGTTCGGGTATATTAATAATCCACGCAATATAAACTTGATAGACCAATAGAAACGGCTCTGCAAGATTATTTGAATGATTGATATTTAATTTATTGATCGATCGGTTGGTTGGAAGGCTGTATGACTCGTTTCAAAGTCTTCACATACGCATATGAATCCAAATGAGTGGGAAGACTCCTTCCCTACCTGTGATCTCTAAAATTTCCTATTGACTATGTTTTTATTAGTCTTATAACGCATTAAAGTTGCCAAAACGTCATCAAGCGAAATTTTCTGTTGGCAAAAGGGGAAAAAGAGCAGGGGAAATTCTGTTTCGCAAGGCTAGTTATAGTGGCTGCTCAGTTCAAATTGCCCCTTATGAAGAAACCGCAAAAACCTTCCCGCACCAGTTGTCTACCTTTGTGAGGCAATACACGTGGGTTATGTTTAGTAGGAAGTATTAAAAATAAAAGATTGAGATTATAATTGCAATTAAAAAAATCTGTTAAAAAAGTGTTTAGTATAAAAGATTACTTGTTATATGGGATTAACCAAACTCATGTATGTGGAATTGAAGAATACCATAGAGGGAAATAGTATTTTCTAATCCCACCTTTATAGGTTTGCTCAATCCCATATAATAAGCAATAACTCATATTAAATATTATTTTAATTTTTTTAATTGCAATATTAATATCAATCTCTCATTTTCAATGTTTTATACCAAATGAGACCATAAAATACAATAACTAAGTAATGTTTTGGTTTTTTTTTTTTTTAAATTAGACAACCGGATCTTATATTAAAAACAGGAGATAGTTCTGTGCTTGAATAAAACTTCATATTCTTCGTAAATGTTTGAAGTTCAATGAATACGTCAACAAAAACTTAGTGCGAAACATCATTTCGATCCCACGCCGCACCTATCACTGGTTCAAAGATTTAAAAAAGAAGCAGCCTAGTTTTGGTCAAGAAGGGAAAGTCGTGCATTTGGTTTGCCCTCATCACGTATCTTCTTTGGACCTCAAGAATTAAAGGCGTTGTTGCTTTTCGTGGTTAGAATATTAAGTTTCTAACCCAAAAACAGTGTCCTTAACACAGCTTTGGGTTGAGCGTGCCATATTACCGTTGGCTTATCTCTGGGGCAACAGCCAAAACGTCGCCGTCGATTGTGTATCTTTATATGGTCCATTCATGATTATGTGTCTGTTAGCGTCATAAAAAATAAAACGTTTAGGCAGCCTCGTTAATGTCTTCTCTTGTTTTAATTGTTTGGCCACACATGTTACAGTGACAGACATGGTAAACCATATATGGAGATAAATAAATAAACTTCCATTATCGCTTTCTAATTTCTAATTGTCGCGCTCACTGAACAAGGGCTTTTCCTTTCCCCACTTTCAATCGTCAGGCGAAATTTAAGACGTCGTTGTTCTGATGACCCATTTTCCCTTGACCGCACTTGTTCTTCTATGGGTAAATGTTATAATTGCGCATATTGAGTTGGTATTTTATTGTAATGAAGGTAAAAACATTTGACAATACCAATGTTGCTGTGAAAGGAAAAGGAGGCTCAATTTCTATTTGAGAGAGAAGTTGAAATATGTATATGATGATTGGAATTTGTTTGAAGAAATTGGAATTCACTGTGTCAAGCCCTCGGAGGCAGAGGTAAATTGGAATAACCGTATGAAAATTCCACTGTAATGCATAAAATTCAAATTTCAAACAGCCAACTCGAACCCATATTGAAAGAATTGAGAGGTAAGTCTGGTTTGAAGCATTTGCCAACCTAGTAAATAATATCATCTTCTATCCTTAATATAAGAGCTGATTGATTAATTTAAATAAATTAAAAAAACTAGTTAAGTTAGTTGTTTGTTATAAATATATATTGTTTTTTGTAAGATATCTTTGCTAATCAAATGTATTGACTAGAACTAACATTATTACAAGAACTATATTAAAAAAATAGATAAATATAAGAAAAAAAGTGAATTGAGATCTTATATGTAGGATCAAAGTAAAAGTTCTCAAACAAACTCTTTTATTAAAGACCGGAGGTAGTATATAATGATAAGTGTAGATTGATTTCAATGATGACATGGAAATTGAAAGCAACATATGGAATCATGTATAATGGTGTTGAAATGAAATTATGGGTTTGCTTAAGGAAATGAAAATTTTTAAAAATTCATTATTTTAGAAAAAGGCTAAGGTGCATCTAACACACTCAAATACTTTTGGAGGTGCATCTAATATCCTAAAATATTTAGTGGTGCAATTTTACTCATAAAGTATTAAAAATGAAGCAGTGCACGCCCTTACCCAACTGAAACTTAACCACCGTTAAAACTTCACTGCTCATGTTCATCAGACCAAGTAACCTCACCGAAACTCCACTGTTCTTCACCTCTTTCACTGAACCAGGGGAGCACGAATAACCTCAGAAATAATATCATGCAATTCCCACCCCTATCATTGTTGGCTCCGTCGCTTCTCCTCCAACAAATCACTAACTCAAAAGTAACTGAAGTATTTGTGAGCTTCTTCAACTTTTAATTATTTTTATGAAATAATATAGTTTGCTCTCTCCCTCTCTCCCTCTTTCTCGCAGCTCTTCTCTCGACTTTCTTTGTTATCTCATATCTTGCAAATCTCAATCATGGTCTTCTTCCTGGGGTTTTCCTCTCCTCTCGCTTTAAGTCCAACCCCTTTTTGTATTTCTTTAATGGAACAAATCTTAGCAGAACAACACTTTCGTGGATTTCTAAATAATTTGCTTGGCTCTTCGATTCATCTTGAGATTTAAAAGCCAAATTTTTCCATCTCTTGCGTTTCTGATTTCTAGGTTATTTTGGTGATTGATTGTTTATCTTTTACCATTATTAGTAAAATGGATGGGTTTGGTGCTGGGAATGATATTCAAGATGCTCCCAAGTCCTAACCCATAGCATCTTAACTTAAGCAACTTGGAGATATACTTGCATGTTTGCTTCAGTTTTATTATTTTTGACATTAAGCAAGCGGTGGTTAAGTTTCAACTAACTTAGGCCGTGAATCGCTCTATTTTTAATATTTTAGGGGTAACATTACACTCCTAAATATTTTAGGATACCGGATGTACCTTCAAAAATATTTTGAGGTGTTAAGTACATCTTAACCCTTTTAGGAAAACTGAAATTAAAATATGAAATTAAAAAAATGGCCCCTGGATTGATATTTTCAAGGACCTTCAGAAATGCCTGTTTTGTCTACTTAACATAAGGGACTGCTTATCGATCATCTTTTATAAGCGAGACAACGAACTTTATGATTTTTTTTTTTCTTTTGAGACTAAGGCCTTTTCAACAAAGAGAGTCTCAAGTCTAGTTAGTAATCCGCTGCGGAGTGCTAGTAGTCATTGAATTTCGATTACAAGTTCATTGCATTTATTTTTACTTCAATTAAAAGTTAAATAACAAAAATAACAAATTCATGCCCGCTGATCTTTTATTTTTTTTTTTCCTATTTCATTGACTTCTGGGTTTGAATTTTTATGGTAAATTTCAATTTGAACAAAGAATTTCAACTGTTTTCCTCATGTCGCCACAATTAAAGTGTGTTGGAATTGAGGCAAGAACTTCCAATTTGCTTCGACCATTTGGGTACCAAGTTTAAATTAATTGCCATAAGTCAGAATCACGACCAGACATTCGAATTTCATCAGTAAATTCTAACCTACTTTCATCATATAAACCTTCATCTA